AAGTTCCTTGCTCTGTTCAGGTCCAGTTTGGTCAACGCTTATTTTTTGCTAGCCAGTTGACTAACATATCCGCTTCATTTATATCTCAAACTAAATAGATGTTACTTGTGCATTACAAGCACATGAGCCCACAAAGCAGACAGCTAAATCACGATCTGGTGGAAACTCAATGCGGGATTTTTTACCTACGCTATATATAACTTCTCTTGGAGTTGCGCTTGAAAGCCATCCTTTGCTTAGCAAATATTTGACTAAAGGCGTTAGTATCCAACCTTCTTTTTCTACCAGATGTTGCACGATAAATCCTGCTGTAAATGGATGCAAGTCTTGAGCGAATTCCCATGCTACAAGTTGAACAATACCTATCAAGTCGCGAATAGTATCAATATTGTCAACTTGAGCACGTCGTTGTATTCTTTCTGGGAATCCATATTGTCAGACCCAAGGCAATACTTCTGATGCGCTTCGTTCTGTATTTTCACAGCCAAAATATGCTTCACAAAGATCTATGTGAATATGCTTAGGAGGAGGGTCTATTGGTGCATTCCATATCATTGATTCCACCTGTGATTTACACCAGATCTTTACAACATTTCTAGGCGTAGGTGCAATACCTTCTTTTTTTCACCAGCAACGGAATCGATAAGACTGAGTGCCTCTTAATGATTTCAAGACTTTATCAAACTCAGCTTTAAGCTCTTCTGAAGGAGCTAGTGTATTAGATTGATACTCATCTTTGATCCATTGACGAATATCTACATTCTCTTCCCATAAAAATTCTTCAGGTATAGATTGTGATTTTTCACATATAAATGCATCGTTCAGCTTTCTCCATTCATGAGAACTATAATAAAGAATACCTTCATGAGTTAGAATCTCTTTCCTACAATCCATATTCTTGTAGCTTTTGGAAGGTTTCTTGCGACAAATGATATAAGAGCTTTAGCAATCTTTTTTTCGTCGATATTAATTATTTCCTCTTTTGTCCCTGTACATGCAGAAATAAGTGCTCTTTCACATTCATAATCCATATCACAGACTGAAGATACTCGAGGTATTTCAGGTATAACTCCTGTTTATGCATGATTATTATGGCAAAATACTGTTAGTTTATGCTATTTGAGATACCTACCACTATTTCACATTTCATTTCCCAAAATATATTTGATAACGATTTTCATTCCTATACCTCCAGATTTTTCTGGCTTTTCACGATCATGCAAATCATCTAAAGTATAGCCAGATGCTCGTACCTTTTCATTAAATTTTGCAAGGGCACTTTCACGAGATAGCGTTAGCCCTATAGCCCACTTTGTTTTTTCATGCTCTATTAGTCGTTGTAATTCTGCTACGATACAATTTAAGTCACTATCATAAAATAGTTCCAGTAGTCCTTGTGGTTTCAGAACTGGTCAAAGTTCATAACAAATATGTTCGACATAGTCACGGGTTTTTCCCCTTAAATATATATTGATTCATTCTAATTGTCCCGATGTGATCTCTTCTCTTGTAAGACTACCAGCTTTCTTTTTCTTACCAAAATGCCATCCCTTATCTCCTATTTCTTCGGTAAATCCATTGAGTGTGTTAAGTCAAGTAAAGAGTGTATACTCTGTAGAATGATAAAGAAGACGGCGAGCTTCTGATGCCATTTTATAGATAACATCGACTAGTCCATCACTATACCACTATACAGTTCTATCTTCATGAATACCTGGCCCATATAATTTTTGACGTGGACATACTATAAACTGAAAACGTAATTTATAGGGCTGGCCTTCTAGCTCAAGATTATATAGCTCATCTTGATACTCATTAAGAGTCATTGCCTCTAAATCTTTCCAGGATAACCATACTCTCCTATCCATAAATAGAAGCTCATCTAGACTGACTTTTCCATAAGAATAAGCACGCAATGATGGCTATCCATGAGGATCCATGTGATACTCTTCTTTTCTTCCTGGAACCCATACCTCCTTTATGCCTATAAAGGTATCAGATTTATTCCATTGTACTCGCTCTTTCATTCTACCAATTTCCCAATCATTAGCCACTCCAATAATATATTCCTCATCATCATCCATTTGATCCCAAATTTTCTTAGCATATCTGTTTGTTATATGCAGTTTATTTGCTCCTTTAGGAAGCCCCTAATACCCAAATTTATGTTGATTTTTTTTCCTTTGGGGTGCTAATTTTGGAATTCATCTTGAAAACCACCAAATCGATCTATCCTCATGTCATTCTAGATTTTCTTTTCCTAGCCACTCCTGCTTGTCTGCCCATTTATCGAATGTAATGGGACTATATTTTCAGATTCTTTTGGCTTAAAACCCTTTACTGGCCCTGCTAACCAGTCGGCCAATTCATCTATAGATTTGTTTTGCGAAACATAATGCGTCCCATTTCTTTTTTCCTCAGCTACTACCTAAAGTTATGCGATTTCCTCTTGATACTTAGCAAGCAAATTATTAGAACGTGGATATAGTATCACAGTTACTCCTTTAAGCTCTGCAAGTTTGGCTTGAACTTCTTTACAAATATTTGCTTGGTTAGCTTGATGAGATGACATCTTATATAGTATATCTTTAGCAGTGTAATAATAACCTCAGAAAAATTTTATTCAATTAATTAATTCTCCTCCTGCCCAACAATTCACTAGATGCAGATATATGTTTAAGTTTATTTGGCTAATCAGATCCTTTAAAGCTATCACCGAGAAAGCTATAAACTGAACTTTCAGATTAAATTAATTTTCTAAAAAAATATTGATTTAATGTACTATTTGAGTTTATTTCTGATATATAAGAATATTTATATAAATAAGTTTAATTTTTTATTTTTTTAAAAAACAATTTCAATCATTTTCAAATTTTCTCTTTTTACATTCTACCAAAATGCCAAAAAAATTCGTTTCAAGAACAAAAGATCTTAAGTTGAATTTTATTTAATTTTTCTGATTTTTTTTACTTTTTATAATAGAAACATATCTCTAATCATCAAAATCAGATGAAATTTAAGTTAAATTTTAGTTAATTTTTCAAAATATATAAAAAATAAACTGATTTTTTTTTACTTTTTATAATAAAAATATGTCTTTAACTATTAAATCGAACGAAAATTAATTTGAATTTTAGTCAATTTTTCTGATTTTTTTACTTTTTATAATAGAAATATACCTCTAACCATCAAAATCAGACGAAATTTAATTTGAATTTTTGTTATTTTTTTACTTTTTATAATGGAAATGTCTTCAACTATCAAATTGGATAAAAATTAAGTTGAATTTGTCAATTTTTCTGATTTTTTTTACTTTTTATAATAGAAATATGTCTCTAACTATCAAAATCGGACAAAACTTAAGTTGAATTTTTGTGATTTTATTATTTTTTATAATAGAAACATGCTTTTAACCATCAAAATTATATGAAGTTTAAGTTGAATTTTAATCAATTTTTCTGATTTTTTATTCTTTTTTTTTGAAAATAGCAATATTACTATAATTATATTTTTATTATTTTATATAGTTTTTCCATTTTTTACTTATATTTTTTTAAATAAGAGATTAATCAGTAGGTTTTAGTAATATTTATGTTATATTTTTGCGAATTATATTAGGTTTTTATTATTAATAAAATTTTAATAATATAATATATTAATTTTATATTCTTTTTTGACTAAATTGATACTAAATTGAGGTCAATTTTAGGCTGATTTATGATTATTTAAATTCTGAATTGATGTTAAATGATATTGAATTGAGGTTAATTTTAGGCTGATTTATGATTTTTTAAGTTCTGAATTGATACTGAATGATACTGTATTGAGATTAATTTTAGCCTGATTTATGGTTATTTAAGTTCTGAATTAATGCTAAATGATGCTGAATTAAGGTTAATTTTAGGCTAATTTATGGTTAAATTTAAGTTCTAAATAGCTATGTCTGATTGAAGTTGATCAGCATCTATCAGCATCTGAATTGTTGCTGAATTGTGGCTAATTTTAGACTGATTTATGATTGAATTTAAGTTCTAAATTGATGCTGAATGGTCATATCTGATTGGAGTCAATCAGCATCAATCGGCACCTGTTTGTGCTGATCAGAAAACATGACAAATCAGCCATAAATAGTATCAAATCAGCCTAAAATCAGCTATCCAATTTTTAGCTGATTTGAACTATTTTGACTAATAAAAATAAATTATTATTTATTATTTTTAATAAATATATTGTTAAACTTATATAAAACATTAAAATTGGAAGTGAAACTCATTTATAAATATATATAACTCTGAGATGAAAATTGGTGTAAAATCTAATTAGACTAATTTAAAAAAAGAAAAAATGTTAAAATTTATTAAAGAAAAACAAAGAGGAAAACTATTTATAAAACTTACTTCAAATTAAAAAGAACTGTTTCAAATCAATCTTATTAAAGAAGAAATTAAATTAATTTTCTAAATCTGCAAGATTAATTGAATCGCGCAATATCTGTATTCACATGATTCATATTCTGAATCACAAAATACTTAATCAGCTTATCCTGCTCTTCAGATTATTGCTCTAATAACTACTGCAGCTCCTGAATTTATTAAACCTGCTCTAATAGCAGCTCTAATTTTGAATGCAAATTGACTTAAAAAAATGAAAAATAACGTTAGAAACTATTATTAAAGAAAAACATACTATCCCACTAATATTCACTATCAAAGAAATCTGCTACCCTATCTTCATTAGCAGTAAATATATCTATTCTTCTAATTTGCTCACTGTGAATTCAAAGTTAAAGAACATTTCAACAAAACTTTCATACATGCTTTCAAGAATCCAAAATTTGTGACTTTAAGGCTTATAGAATATAAATAAATGATGAAAATGTGACATGCTGATGTCGCAAAAGAATAACTTTGTAATATAGATAGTGAAGATATTTATGAAGGAAATGGCATCTTTTCTAAAGATAATAGTAGGATGTTAAAACTTTTAAGGGTAAGAGTCAAATGGATTCAACGAATTTGCCTATTAAAGAATTTTTAGAAGTATTATTTGCCGCTAAAGCTAATGCTTCAGCTGCTTTAGCTGCTATTTTGCTAATGAAGTTAGGAATAGTTTGACAACTTCAGCAAAATCTACCCATTCTCATTATACTTCAATGACAGCGTGACGTATTTCACTTTATGTACCTTTTCTAATAGATCAAAGCTTTAATGAAGGTAAAGCTAAAGAATTTAGCAGTTTAACAAACAAAGAGCATTAGTAAACTTTCTTGAATAAAAAAAATCAAAAGAAATCCACCCACCTTTCCAGAAATACATATCCGCCTCCAATTTCAAAATCAAAGTCTAAGACTGAAATCTACAAAAAAAAGCTAAAGAATGTTAGTAACCATTATTTAATAAAAAAAACATTCCCTCCTCTAGAAATACCTACCCATCTCCAATCCTAAAGCAAGCTGAAATCTACAAAAAAAAGTTTAAAGAGAAAAAGTTAAAAGTTTATTAATAAAAAAAATAGCCAACATTCTCTAAAATAAAAGTATATTGCTGAAAATACCAAAGAAACCAAAGCCCTACCTTCGAATTTACCACTTTTCCTAAAAACTAAAAACTCACTCTAAGAAACATTTTGAATTTTGTCGCTAAATTTATTAGGATATTTCTAGAAATATTAATTGTTATCTAAAAAAGCGAAAAAGATTTTGTTTTTAATAAAAAAAATTAGAAGTTTAAAAACGCTATAAACTATTTTTTTATATAAATTTTTATTTTAATGTGTATAAATAATAATGTGTATCGGTCGCAAATATATCGTTTTTGATTTGACATGCAGACTTTTTTGATTCATCAAATTGTGTAATGGAACGCTGTATCTTTTTTGATTCAGGGAGTTTGATCACGAGATATAGAATTTCTTCATTGCTTAAACGCTGAATGAATGATATTTGCTTTCAATGAGATATCAATCCTTTTAGACTTATTATAATTGTGAAGGTCAGTCGGAAATAAATCTCGTCTTTTCTATCGCACGTTGTAAAACGGATATTTAACTATATGAATACATAAATACGATTTTTACGATTTTTTTTTTATAAATAATTTAGCTTTATCCTTTTAATACTCTGCAATATCTTCATCTCAAACTACACTTTACCCTATGGTAGAGCATGCATAAGTCTAAGTTGAAGCCCAGCCCGGCCCGGACTTAATAGTATGACAACTTGATGTTGGCCCATTATAACTTCTGCTATGCGATGCGAAATTTAAAATTCAATAATTTTATTTTATTTTACAAAATACAAAAATATATATATTTTTTATTTACCAAATTTTTATTGAAAATAAAAGCTAAAAAAATTATTGAAGTGCACTATGTAAATCTAAACACCATCTATTGTTGGTTGCTCTTATATGTGTCAATAATTTCATTGGAATGGTGGCTATATTTATGTACTCTCCTTAACGAAAAGCAAAAAAAAAGTTGGCAGAAAGCAACTTTTCAACCGGTTGATCGAAATTCTTTGTGATTACACTTTTAAATAAGAAACAAGAAATAGATTTTTTTATTTTATTTTTATTTTTTTTTTTTTTTGTCTTGCGAAAATAAAAGTTTGGTAAGTTGCTGAAATTAGAAGACATTTACCCGAATACATGCAAATTACTTAAAGTTTGAACATCGAAAGTCATTACGTAATCAATCATTATATAAATATCGAAAATCACCATCAGATTAAGGTTGGCTGGCAAAACCCGAGGTTTCGAATGAAACTAATTCAAAGTTTTTACCAAAATTATTTTTAAGGCAGCCCCGGTAAATTTTGACGGGTGGCAAAACTTTGAAAATAAATTCCCTTCGGGCACATTCTAATACATCACATCCTTTTGGAAATCCACCCAGGTAAATCGATGAAATTTAGAAAATTTAGAATCTCTGTCCTAGGTTCGAATCCAGCCTGTTAAAAACCATTATTTAGTTAAATCAAAATCGTGAATCACAAATAGAAATCCGACGAAATCCTTCGAAATTGACAAGAGTTTCTATATTTACCTAAATGGGATGGTTTTGCCCTGCAACCTAGATCAGATATTTTTTTTCTTTATGCGAATTTTAATTTTTCCAGTTATGTTTAACAACTTTTTTTTAAAAAATATTTTTTTTTTGTTTTGGCAATTTAACCTTTTTCTTTTTTTTTAGGAATGGTATGAGGCGTAGATTTGTAAAGTAGTTTCGACCTACGAAACTTCATGATCTATAACAATAAATTAAGTGCATATTTTTTTTTTTTATTTCTATATTAAATTTAATTTTCCCGTGATATTTCAAAAAAGTATTTTCCATTGTTATCATTCATTCATTTTATTTGTGGTGATCATTTTGTAGTACAAACTGAACAATGAAATGTTAAATCGAAAATTATTCATAGTTTACTAAATTAAGCAACTGAATATTTTTTTTTTTTTAGAAAATGCTCAACACTGACTGAGCATAATGAACTTAATAATTTTGGAATCAATGAAGCGAATGAATTCAATAATTTAAAAACTAAAAATAGAATAAGTTTTGATTAAACTGCCAATTATCATAACTTTTTATTGTAAATATCAAAAGAAATTTTATCATCAAAATGAATGAATGCAGATCGGACCAACCTTTCTTTTTCTTATTAATTGTTGGTCAGTGAAAATTCTATAAATATGTGAATTTTGCGCGAAACGTTTTTCGATAATTCAATTGAATCTAATCAATTTCAAAAATATAATTCAAACTTACAAATCAACAATCTTTAACTTTTTTTCAAACATGAATCCAACAGAAGTAATCTCTATTCTTGTTGCTCCTGTCTCTGATTTAAATGCTACTACTTCAAGCCAAAATGTTACCGAAACTCCAAGCCGACCAACGGATCAATGCTGCATTATGTAAAATAACCGCTTTCTGACCGTTGAAAGGTTGGATCACAATCTCTAATTTTCATTATATATAATTCTTTGGAAATCTAAAATTTATTTAACGATTTGTTATTTATTTATAATTTCAATTTTATAGCTTCATCTTCGGGTTATTTCGTTATAATTTCATTTGGATTTCGATCTATATTCCTTTTATAATTTTATAATGATTAAAAATTATTCACCGTTTTTTTAAAATTTTTTTTTGATGTTAAGTTTTTTTTACTTTAAATATTTAGATAGTAAAGTTAGATTATAATTTTTTTTTTTTTACAAATAGTCCCGTAGTTCGACCTGGTTGTCGTCATTTATTTTCAGAGTTTTGACAGAATTTTATAATAACAGGCTTGGTATAAGGCTTGGAAACTCTATAGTTAATAAAATTCTTATTGTTTTACCAATTACATATGAAATTATCGTTGTGAAATTGTATCAAAACTTTGGCTTAAGACGAGCCTGAGAAAAATTTGAGTTTGATTCGTTTGCCTAGTTTGGTTATATCCTAGGGTTAACACTGGCAACCCGACAACCCTACAACCTAATATATGAATTTTGCTGTAAGTATTTTAGGAAAAGTTGAAATATTCTGTAAGACTGATCCTTCTTTTCCCCATTATTCAAACACTTTTAATGATTTCTTAAGATTTTCTTACCTAGTTTACAAAGGTTTACACCATATTACGTTCATTGAGCGAAATATATATATTCTTTTTATAAGTCTTTCGTAGTACACTTTTTTCATGATGCTCATAGAAAGTTCCAAAAGCTTGTTATTGATTAGCTTTTTTCTTAATAAAAAGATTGATGGGAATAGATTCTGAATCCACCCGAGTATAAAGTTATTATTAGGTAGTGCCAGCTAATATCCAGTATCCGCCGATATCAAAATATACAATCACGATTAATTAGGTCTTTAATTAATCCAGATTTATTTTTCATAATCTTTAAATCATTTCTTCCGTTTGTGAAGACAACTTATAAATATCTAGTTTCAATATAAATTAAATAAAATTAGTCTGTACTAATAAAACATATATATATATAAAAAAGATAAATAATTTTTCCAATATATAGTAAATAGAAAGATTGAATTAACGTTTTGTATATTAAAATGATAAAAATATATATGGGATGTTTGCTATTAAAATCGAGTTACAACATAGTAAATCATATGATTCGTTCCGTAACATGATTTTAATAGCAAACCTCACCACAATGTCATGATCCAACCCTATAAAAACACATTATCTATAAATTATATATAAAATGGCAAATAACTTGTTTTTTATTCAATTACTGTTAATAAAAATCTGCTTATATTTAAAATTGTATATAACTACATAAACGAAAGAATTGAATACAACAGCATTATATTTTGAAGTCATTAGATAAAATTTTTACATATAAACTTTTTTTTGGTTAAAATTTTAAAGGTGATCCGGCCGGCTGACGTGAACCGAAAATGCTAACGTGCGTGGTTAATGAAGGATCTCATTCGATTTTAAAAAACTTTGTTAATCAATTTTAAATTAGGAAAAACATCCATCGAAATTTTAATTAATTTTTAGCTTTATTATTTTTTTTTATTAAAATAAAAATAAAGCGGAGATTTCGTGGTTTTCATTTTGTTCAAAGAAATCACGATATTTAAAACTATATAGATGTTGGTGTTAGGTGATTCCATTTTATATAGTGTTAGCTATGGCCGTTTGTAAATTTGGTTAGCTTCATACAGGAACTATGGGGCTGTTTTTATATTCAATATTGATATAAATATCAATAGAAACTACGGTTGTTTATATATGAAAAAAAAAAGTTAGGATAGAAGAATCACATGTTATTATGTAAAAAAAAAAAATAAAATAAAAATAATGATTGATTTTATTAGATTTATCATTACCTTAAATATTAGTTAGTAATCGTAATAACTAAAGATTTGTCAACAACCTATGCTGCGGCAACGAAAATTGATAATTCTAGACAAAGAGATCTAGCCTAAAAATAAAATTTCTAAGAGAGAGAATCTATCAAACTAAAATAAAAAAGAAATAAAATAAAAATATTAAAAATAATAAAAAAAATTTTAATATCGAGTTGGCTTACCTTCGCCGTGATGACGAACTAGACGGTTTCGTTTGAAAGTTCCTAGCCTAAGAGAAGGAATAAATCGAACTAAAATAAATAAAATTGAAATAAAATTTTAAATAACAAAAAAGAAAAATAGTTAGCTTACCTTCGTCGCGGTAACGAACCAGACCGTTCTGTTTGAAAAAAAAATCTCTTGCCTCTGTTCACAGCTGGAAAAGAGGAACAAGACTAACCTAAAAAGATAATAAAAAATAAAATTTGATAATAATTATGATGTAAATGTTATTCAATAAAATTAATTAATTAAAACTACGCAAAATAATAATTGGAAAATAAAATAAATGAATTTCAGCATAAATATTTATGATGGTCGAAATTGATCTAAGACTAACCAAGTAAGGCGAAAATTATGATTTTTTCGGGTGGAATTATATCCAATGTAACAATATGAATTTTTATGGTATTAACACTTTAATCAAATCCGTTCTCGTCATTCTTGTTTTACTTGATTTTTTTTTATATTTCTTTTCTTTGTAACTGATAACATTCCAATTACCAACAATCACATCGTTACGATTTACATAAAAATTTTATTAATAAACAAAACAATAAACCGGGTCAATTTTAAATTTTAATGTTACGTGAACCTAGAGACTAGACTCGTACTCGTTTTAACTCCAGAATTCGAGTTGACTCGAGTTAAAACTACTTAAGTCAACTTCAAATTAATGTTATATTTATTAGCATATTATAATTAACATTTATTATTTAATCATTGAATAAAAATTTTTAAAAAAATTTTTTTAGTTCGGCCCCAAATTATCACTAAATTTTGGCTCGCATTGTACTTTTCCAGCCCGCATTATGACTTTAACTCGAGTTTGACTTTGAGTTTCTGACTCGAATTTCCAACTGAGTACCTCTACCGTGAACCGAAAATGCTATTGTGCGTGGCCTTGTATTAAAAAAGGTAACAGTCGTTGATCATAATATATAACGAAAATGGTAAACTAGGTGGAACGGTTTACTGACAGATATAAAATTGGATATACAAAAAAATTTATCGAAGGAAGATTGTCTAACCTATTGGATTTTCATATAAAAAGTAATTTTTTTGTTATAGTGTTCGTTGGATAATGTGAATGAATATTGTTGTAACATTCTTTATTACGAATTCAATATCGTTACTCTCGATGCTAAATTCGTTCTTAGTAATGAATGGAAACTGCCGGGAACAACATATTTTACTTCTTATGATGTAAAATAAGTCTAACGACCCAGTTACATATTGATGTTTCCTTTTATCTGACTTCTTACGAATCGAATGTAAGTATATGACCTTTTCTTGTCTTTCTTTTTTTATTAGAAATTAGGCAGATGTTCTATTTATTAACATAATTATTATTTACAAAAAAAAAAATTGTAAGTTTTCAACGAAATATGTACACATTGATATGTAAGCAACTTTAAGAAAATCCAATTTTGTATGGATCATATCGACATTGAATGCAGACATTGGAATGGAACGTTTGTAAAGGTGTAAATACTGTATTATCAATTAAAATTATTCATCAAATCCAATTTTTGATTATAGTCTCTTGACGAATTTATATATTTATATAAACTGATGATTTTTCATTTTTGTACGGTTGATGAGGAACAATATCTAGATGTTTTGAGAGAACATGAAAAGGAAGTAATTAAATACAAGTTATCTTATAAAATTTTTAGTTCGTTCGGAAGAATAATCTCATCCTTTTATTTTCTCATAATTTATTTTACGAGTTATTGTACCAATAACTAAAATAAATATAACTTTATCTTAATAATAAATTCGATAAAAATAAATTAAGGAGAAAGTTATTCGAAATAAAGCCAAGTCACCCCCAAAAAATTTGGACGTCCAACCAAGTAGTATGGTGAGGCCCATACTTGATTTATATTTTCATTAAAATATATTGGACGTAAAAATTTGATATTTCTAGAGATCAAAAATGTTATCAAATGAAATCTTAAACCAAAAAGAGCCAATATATTAGAAGATTGATATTAAATATACAATAATTCCGCCGAAAACACCATAATTTCGGATGTAGATTGTTTTCGATATTTGCAGTTAGTCCATTAACGACAGGCTGTCCTAATAATTCTTTTTTTTATAAATTAGAATTTTAGTGATTGGCATTTATTAGTTTAATATATTGACATTGCGAAAGTATAAAGCACCTACGTTGAGGTGACACTGATCAATTTGATATTATTACTTCATTTTTATTCAATAAAAACCTTCTGGTTACATTTAAAATTTTTATAAATACATAAACGAAAGAACTGAATATAATATAACACGATTAATGTCAAATGTCGACACTCTATAATAGTTTAAATAAATATTTTTATTTTCTTTCTACTTTAAACATCATCACCTTAAATTCACTTCTAAAACCCATCGTTTCTATATTCTATTGACTAATTTGCAACTAAATGTGTTGTTTTTTTTTTAATTAAATTAAAAAAGTTCCGATAAATTTTATTTTCTAATTTTCTCTATTGATAATCAATAAATATTCATGTTTACTACAATAACACTTAAACAAATCATGAATAAAATTGCGTAATTTTAATCACATTGACAATACGATATATGGGAGGTTTGTTATTAAAATCACTTACGGATCATATGTATTAACTTATCCTTCCGGGAAGATTTTCTTTAACTGGTTAAAATAGTTGATTTAAGTTCGGTCAAAGTTAAAATTTTGGCTTTATTTATCCTTTATCCATACCTTTTTACGCTGGGTGTTTCAATATTTTTATCTTCAACGAACAAGTTTTTTTTGGGTTTATGATGTTTTCGGGCGGAATTATATCAAAAAGCCCCCCAAAAAACCAAACTATTATATTGCGAGCATTGCAGGAATATTTTTGTGCACATAAAAAATATGTATAGCATAAAGTAGATCAAAAAAAAAAAAAATGATGCATTAGTGCGACTAATTAGTTCCTTAAATAGAATGGATGCTTTAACAAAATAATCAGATGATCATTTGGACAATTTGTACTACCATAACAATGTTGCCCTTTTATTTAGAAATGCCATTTGCATATCGTAAAAAATTTTTTTTCTTGATCTGATTAAAGATTTTTACATTAACAATAGAAACTTAAGTTTGTAACAATACTCCGAAATTCTAATGCATTTTTGCGCGATTTCGATATAAAGAACAGTTTCATTTCA